TAAAACAGGATGTATCACTCCTCCCTGTAAAGACGGCACCTTTTGTTAAGAAAAGTGCTATATAAATAAAGTTATTATTCTTATGGATATGAAAACTTAAAACACCAGAAGAGTGTAAAATATGGAGTTTAAATATGATTTTTGACTTGTTTGATTTCAGTCGAACTGACTTCTGTTGACCCCTTTTTTCTAACAAGGCAGCTTCCTGATTTGACAGCTGATTCTGATGTCATGAGGGTCGTTATATCCTGTTCTACTCCTGAATCGTATTTTTTTGTCAGAAATATATTGTTGGATTTGAACAGAGCGGATCAGTGAGGTGTGACTTACACCTGTACGACGGCCTGCGAAGGTGTAAATCAGCTGTTTATCTCCTGAAGCCGGAACAGTAAATGTTCAGCTACAATCTGCATACTCTGCTAATGTTATGCACATGCATACAAACAACAGACAACAGCAGACACACCTACAGATACAGACACAAAGGCGGCGACACACACACACACACACACACACACACACACACACACACACACACACACACACACACACACACACACGTATGAGTCTCAGGGGAGATTTCCATATGCTCGCAGCGCTGAACCGTGAAAACGACACACTCACACTCACACCTTACAAACGAGTGATGAAAGTGATTCCTCCAAACACTAATCACGACCAAAATAACTCACTTGATCATCGTCTATCAAAGGCCACGGGACTCACCGACACATGGACAGACTGACAGAATAAATGTAAGATGACACCAACCTAGTTGTGTCAAAAAGAAAAAAAACACACACACACGTACACACACACAAAGGTAGACAGGTAGACATATGTGGGACATGGCTAATGACAGGGAGTACATTAAAATTAGAAATAGGAGTGAGACAGAAAGAGGCTGAAAGCAGAATAAAGACATGAGAGTCATGTGTGGTGAAGATTATTAACTGACCTTGTTCAAAGAGGATTTTAAAATAAAAACATGTATGAATTACTACTGACACCACTGTTACTGCAGCTGCTACCACGATGCTAATGCCATTAGCGCTGCTGTACTGTGAGTAGAAGGTATTAATTATGGATGTTTTCTGCAGTTTATCTGGATCCTCTTGGTCCGACTGAAGTGACAGAACTTAATTCTTTTATTGTGAAAGTTTATTGTTTTCTTTTGAAAGGAAGAACTTATACATAGAGTATATATGAGAAATAATCCTGTAGCCTCGGGGCCTCAGGGAGGAGAGGACGATTGACAGATGAGATAGAGGCTAAAGACACAGTCTGAACAAACTTCATGTCACATAGAAAAGTGTCTCCATTGTTTAAATTATTTTATCCTGTTTTTACCTCAAATTTCTGGCACTAAAGTCCCTGATCTTCACTGTTGCATCCCTGTAGGTGCTGGTCTGGGGTCTGGGGTCTGGGGTCTGGGGTGGAGGGGTGGAGGGGTGGAGGGGGGACTGAGTATCCCCCTCTGATTCACCAGCTGCTTCTTTTTAATCTGCTGCTGATAAATTCTCCTGCAGGTTCACCATGTTTCACAGATTTACCTCCACGATCCCTCACCGGCTTCCCACCTGCCAGCACTGCCACAGCAGGGTGGATAACCTTTGTCACATTACACACAGTCATTGGATCCATGCTTAATATGAGTGTTTGTCTTTTTATTTGTGTATTTTATATTTACATTTGTCTATTGTTACTGGCTTTTTGTTTGATGTTACCTGGGATGTAAATTAGCATTTTTGCTACAATCTGTCGTGTTTACATCGTGTATTTCATATTTATGATGCTCATAAACACGTGTTGTCTCTATCAAATAAGCAAATAAATATAACTACAGTCCCCTCCTCGTGGTCGTATCCCTCCGCCACGCAGACTAGTTCCAGGTCACATCCCTGTTTATCCAGTCAGATACAATACTAACCATCTGAGTGAAGTCTTGAGTAATGGATAAAAAGTGTTTTGTGAGGTCACTGTGATCTTGACCTTTGACCTTTGACCACCAAAATCTAATCAGTTCATTGAAGAAAAAAAAATTGAAGGGATTCCCTGTGAGAGTTCTGGAGATATTGTGTTCAAAAGGCCAAAATCAAGTTTTTTTTTAAGGTCAACATGACCTTGACCTTTGACCTTTAGCCACCAAAATCTAAGCAGTTCATCCTTGAGTCCAGATGAATGTTTTTACCAAATTTGAAGAAATTCCCTCCAGGTGTTACAGGGATATTGCGTTCACAAGGACAAAACCGTGTTTTGCGAGGTCCTTGACCTTTGACCTTTGACCAAAATCTAAGCAGTTCATCCTTAAGTCCAAGTGGACGTTTGAGCCAAGATCCTTCAAGGCCTTACTGAGATACTGTATCCACGTGAAACAAAATGGCTGCTGTGTGCCTGGCGCGGAGGAATACGTACGCACGTAAACAGTGATTTACGCTGTTTTAAAGATGAAATTCTGATTTTCAAACTGAACGCAGGTCGTGAATGAAGTCGCACAGACAGACACATTAATGTATTCATATTTATTTGAAAACAACAATCCATTTTTTTCCACTTCTACTGCGATTCCTTGTTGCAACTGGGGTCATACATGATATTTGTATTAATTCCACGGAACACCATCACAAAGTTACCCTTTTATATGCACGTTTACCTTTTTTTTGTCCTTTTTTTTTGTATTGTTGTCATTTCTATACAATGACTTGTGCTTTGATATTTTTGAAAGAGAGAAAGATTTTTTTTTAAAGACATCATTGTAGTCATGATAAGTGTACATAACAGAGGGAGGATCGAAATAGAAAAAAGTCGTAAGAAGAGGATATACTGGTCGAGTACACACCGATACAGAGTACAGAGATACACACTCACATTGCAGCCTGCCCGACTCCGCCCACAACTGTCAACACGAGAAAAAAGAGTTGTGTCGCTGAAATCACCACAACCCCCGCTGCTCCCTTCTTTTCCTGATTTTAGGATTTAAGTACGCTGTTGTTGCCTTGCAACAAATACACTCCCTGCTGGTGAGCAGAGTTTTGGCTAAATATTGCTTAGCTACAAAAGGGATGTGAAGGAGGAAGAGGAGGAGGTGGAGGAGGAGGGGGATCAAAAACGCTGTGCAGAAAGCCTCAATGTCACAACTGTTAAATGCATTATTATTATTATTATCAATATTATTATTTCAGACAGTTTTAGGGTTCAGAGCGCCGAGCAGTTTCCACCCAAACACTTCCACTTCAATCAGAGTCTGCTGCAGAAAACGGATCAGAGCGCTGGGACTTTCAGAGAAGAAATATAAGGTGCATGTGTTCGAACGTGTCCCCGGAAATGAAGCCAATAAATAAAGAGTTTCAGTGGCCAAAGAAATGTGTGTGTGTGTGTGTGTGTGTGTGTGTGTTCAGGGGGGGTTGACTGGATATTTACACAGACTGGAATGTTTTCCTCATTTAGAGATCAGATGAATAAATGTCGTCTGACTGAATGTGGAGCTAACATTAATTTGTGAATGCTGTTGGAGGCTGGCGTTTGCAGGGGAGGAGGGGGAGTGTAGGTGTAGGTGTGTGTGTGTGTGTGTGTGTGTGTGTGTGTGTGGGGGGGGGTTTAAATCAACAATTGAGCAGAATGCCACGGTGCAAGAAGGCATGTTCATTCACTTAATGCTGAGAGCAAGTCTGTAAAAGAAATAATAAAATAATACCACGAAAATAAGAAGTAAAAAAAAAAAGAAAAGAGAATCACAACCAGGAACAAAGAGCAGCAGAGAAAATGTACAAGCAAACGACCAAAACCTTAATGTGAATGTCATTCTAAATGTTAAGTGCAGATAGATAGATAGATAGATAGATAGATAGATAGATAGATAGATAGATAGATAGATAGATAGACAGGTCGATAGAGTCTATATACTGTATGTATTCATATGCTGGGTAAATATTCTGGTAAATCTTACTTCTATGTGTATATACCTCCAAGTAGAGGGCGCTCACTTAGACGTATATAAATAGGTCTAACATATAAAGCCATAGTACAGTGTACATATCCTCGCCCTAATGTAAGCCATAGCAAAAAACCCATGCTTTACATAGAAAAAGGCATCCACGACATTTAAGAAAAAATGTACAATTTATGAAACATGGTAACAATAATAAATAGTATTATAGAATCGCTGCTGTACACAAAAAAGCCATTTTTTTAAATTTCACTCATATAAAAATATGTTTTAGTGCAACCGTACGTAATAGTAATATCCATAACTTCACATCGCTTGTAGAGACTTTTTAAGGTGTCCAAAAAAAAGAAAACACAGGAGGTGGGGGGGGGAGAGAGAGAGAGAGAGAGAGAGAGAGAGAGAGAGAGAGAGAGAGAGAGAGAAGGAGGGTGGGTTTGCATTTATTACAAAGCTGATACGCAAAAACGTGATAGTATTGTATTTACATTTACCTTCCTGCTTCGTTTGCTTATAAGAAAATAAGCAAAAAAACAAACAAAAGAAAGAGTAAAGAAAAGGCACAGACGCAGCTGTCCGACGCTCCTGTTCACGTACCGCTTCACCACACGCCTCGTGTGTCGGCGGGAGTTTCCGTACATGTGTCACTGTTTGCAAATCCCCCCCCCCTTTAAAAAGTCTTTAAATAAGAACGTCTGTGAGAGGAGGAGAGCAGCCCCCCCCCTCCCCACCGGGGAGAACAGCCATGTGTACAGCATGCTGCACAGGTCCATTGAGTTTTAGTCTTTTTTTGACAAGAGCTTTTTCTTTGTTTGTAAATGTGAGAGAGAGACAGAGAGAGAGAGAGAGAGAGAGAGAGTGAGAGAGAGTGAGAGAGAGAGAGAGAGTGAGAGAGAGAGTGAGAGAGAGAGAGAGTGTGTGTCAACTGATGTTGATACTGTTACAAGAAATGTGTGTAAAGTGTGCAAAAGTCATGTTTCTCTCTCTGTTGCACTTCATCCCTTCCTATTATCCAAGAACAAAACCTTCCTCCTCCTCCTCCTCCTCCTCCTCTTCTCTACGACACGTCTCTGCTCCTCTTTGTGCTTTCCACCTCCCTGTCTCTCTCCAGCTTCGGAGGTTTGGACGCCGGCGGAGGCTGGAGGGCGTCGGATCCGGGGCTGGGAGGAGGGTGAGGAGAGGAGGAGGAAGAGGAGGGGGAGGAAGGGATGGAGGGGTGGGGGTGGGGGTGGGGCCTGAGCTCCAGGCCGCTAAAGTGCTGAATCCCAGGAGGAGAGGGCGAGGGGTGAGGAGACGGTGGAGACATGGAGATGGATGGAGAGCGGTGCGGTGGTTGTTGTTGGGAGTCGGGGGACAGAACAGAGGGGGAGGAAGAGGAGGAAACTCTGCCTCCCTCTTTCCCTTCATCCCCTCTTCCTCCCGCTCCTCCTCCTCCTCTCCTCTCTGCAGGATCCTCGGAGTCGATGCAGAGCGAGGCGATGGCCTTGGTGCAGGTCTGGATCCCCTCCTCCTGCTCCTGCGCCCGCCTCACTCCTCCCCCTCCTTCCCTCTCCTGCGAGGAGGGGTGAGGCGATGACGACTCCCTCACCCACTCCCCCCCTCCTCCTCGTCCTCCCCTCTCGATGAAGGAGGTGAAGTGTGGGGAGGCGGCCTCGCTGGTGGTGGAGTCCTCTGACGTGCTCTTCTGCAGCGGCAGGCGGGAGACGGCTGGCTCCGCCCCCTGCTGGGCCAGAGGGGTGGTGACTGACGAGGGGACGGAGTGAACCATCTGGATCCCCCCGATGGGAATCATGGGATACGGCGAACGCACCTGGAAGCAGAATGACAGCTGAAGTCACATGTTCAAGAACTGAAGCGATATTTTTCTTATTGTCAACAATCAATCAAAACCAATAATCAATGTATCGATTATTGTAGCCAGTGTTTGCGTATCAAAGCCTGATATAATATATATATATATATATTTCTCTGTTGTTTTTGTTGTTTTGACTCACTACAGAACCTGATGTGGGTTAATCCGCTGGTAAAAGTAGTGCCCGACAAACGCACTATTTAAAATAAAAAAAAAACAGCCAGAAACTTTATAAAAAAGTAGAAAATAATAAAATAAAAACTAAAAATGAAGAAAAAAAAATTAAAATAAAAAACAGACAAACAAATATAATAAAAATCCAAAATGTCATATATTAAACTAAGATAAGTAATAAAATAAAAAGTTTAAACAAATGACTTTGAAATAAAAAGTACAAAATATAATAAAATAAAATGAATTTATAAATTAATAAATTTTAGAAATATAATATTCAAACAAAACAAAGTACAAAAACAGAATAAGATATACAAGGTTAATATATATATATATATAATATATAATATATTATTATACCTGGAGTTGAGAATGGAGTGGAAGGTGACTGAACAGGACTTGTTGAGGTGGGCTGGACTGGTTACCATGGCTACTGGCCTGGTCCTGTTCCCCTAGTGACGGTGAAGCTGGACGATGTTCCTGGAAACAAAAGAGGAGAGGGAGTGAAACACTCTGTCGTCCGTGAGCTTGAGACTCTTTTTCATCATCGTTAAACCCACAGAAGAAGAAACGCTCCCTCTCATTGGACGGCACCAGTTACAATAAACACTTTGTGATGGAGCGCAGACGTCATGTGACAGAGTGAAGGAGTCTTGATGAGACCAGACAGAGAGGCGTTGGTAAAAACACTAAACAAATACAAAAGATGGCGGCTCCGCCAAACTTCAGAAAACAGGAATCTATCATGTGAAGCCGGGCCGGTGTCGAACGCCCGCCTCTCTCCATGCTCTGTTTGAGTGGGAGCAGCAGCAGCAGCCAGAGTTTGAAGTGGAGCTCTTAAGAAGAAAAACAGCCGTGTTATTAACCACAGCGCCGCCAGCCAAGATCCCATTACCACCACAACCCAGCGGCCCCATCCTCCATCATCCCTCTCTCTATCAGACTCGCTCTCTCTTCCCTCATCCTCTCTGAATGTCTCTGCTGGTTGCCAGACGCTCCTCTCCTCCTCCTCTCTCTGTCCCACTGTCTCTCTGCCTCCCTCTCTTTCCATCGCCCTCATTTTTACTTTCCTGCACTTTCCTGCACTCAAACTACAACCTGAACCAAAGTTCAGAAAATCCTCTCCACATTCATGTTGAGGAGGAAAAACAGTCTTTAGTTTATTCTGATTAAAAAACACCCGTCTGTATATAAAGTATATAAAGTGAAGTTTATCAGTGACAAAGACACTGAAGGTTCATCTCAAACTCTATATAATATTCTGCTGCCTGGTTTAACTAGAGCCCCCTCCTCGTGGTCGTATCCCTCCGCCACTAGTTCCAGGTCACATCCCTGTTCATCACAGAAAATATTAAACATTTGTGTGAAGTCTTGAGTAATGGCTACAAAGTGTTTTGTGAGGTCACCGTGACCTTGACCTTTGACCTTTTGCCACCAAAATCGAGTCAGTTCATCCTTGAGTCCGAGTGAACATTTGTGCCAAATTTGTTCCTTCGAGGACATACTGAGATATCGTGTCCACGAGAATGAGACGGACGGACAAACTGAAAACAAAATGGCCGCCGCTCTGCCTGTCGTAACAGGAAGTGACAAATTGAAACGTATAAATAACGTGTCCGACATAAACTGCAGCTAGTGACGCTCTGTTCACAGAAACCTGGATCAGCTGCTGCCACGTGTTTCATTCGTTTACAGTAAATTTAACCTCTTAAAACAGACTGCGGGTCATGATTCAGTGATGTCATCAAGCCACTAGAGCGCGCCAAAAACAAAGATGGCCACACATGGATAAAACAAAACTACACCAGTGTTAGAGCTAAAAATTCTGCAAGTGAAAGCTGCAGGTTTGATTTATTTGCAGCTGAAGTTTGAGGAGGAGAAGAAGAGTCTCACCGTCTCCATCTCTGTGCTGGTTCTACGGCGTCCCAGAGGACCGAAGTCTCCCTGAGCCAGGAGCCCGGTCTGATGAGTCTGCCTCAGGCCCCGAGCCCCACTCTGCTGGCTGGACACACACACACACACACACACACACACACACACACACACACACACACACACACACACACACACACACACACACACACACAGGTCAGGTAAGCAAAAGTCATTGTTTACAAGTAAAAGTTTTACATTCTCTGTTTAAGTCACGTTTGTGTCCAGAGGTGAACAAATGTTTGGGGCCCTCAAAGGGAAAAGGGGGCCCCTGATGGCCGCTCATACGGGCACATTTCGCAGTGACAACTATAAACTCCCTTAAACCTCCATAAAGACACTATACAGTCTGCCCCCCCCCCCCCCCCCGGGGGGCCCCTGGTGAGCTAGCAGCTTCCCATTGCCTGTATGTGAGGCATTCAGGGGACATCTGTAAATTGTAGTCTGCTTATAGTCTTCATGTGAGGCGTTCAGGGGACATCTGTAAATTGTAGCATCTACCTACAGTAGAGTCTGCACGTGAGGCGTTCAGGGGACATCTGTAAATTGTAGCATCTACCTACAGTAGAGTCTGCACGTGAGGCGTTCAGGGGACATCTGTAAATTGTAGCATCTACCTACAGTAGAGTCTGCATGTGAGGCGTTCAGGGGACATCTGTAGTACTAGTAGTAAAAGCGTCCTCACCTTTGGTGGTGGAGGTGTTGGTGGAGCCCTCGGCGAGGAGACAGGGGCCGGATCACCCCCCTGTGGCGGCCCCGAGGTGAAAGGTCACGCTTGTAGTCTCTTCCTGCTGGAGACGTGGGTCGAGAGAGGGGGGAGAGCAGCGAGAGGTGTCCCCTCCTGGGGGAGAGGTCTCGCCGGAACCCCCCCGCCGCCACCAGGTCTCTCTTGGGGGAGATGTGACGCAGAGGAGAGATGTCCCGCCGCGGTGAGAGGTGTCCGGCGCGGGGTGAGAGGTCGCGGCGTGGGGAGAGGTACCGGCGGGCGGAGGGTGAGGAGGAAGGGGAAATGGGGGACGGGCAGCCGGAGTGGTCGAGCCCGGGCGAGGACAGGCGGGAGGAGGGGGAGGACAGGTCAGGGGAGGGGACGGGGAGGTCTTCATCCATGGAGGAGGAGGAGGGTGGCACCAGCAGCCTGCTGCCCTGCGGCCTCTGAACGCCTCGCTGGAACTCCTGGCGCTCGGCCGGGTCGCTGGGCGGAGCCTGCGACGTGATCTGGATGCTCGGCACCGTGGTGAAGTAGCCGAACAGCGGAGGCTTGTTGGTGTTTCCCAGCAGGTCGGCGGCGGCGTGCTGGGACAGGTGAGGAGACGGGTGGGAGGCGGCCACGGCTGTGATCGACAGGGAGGGCAGGCCGTACGGCTGCGGGCTGGTGGAGCGCGAACGAGTCTTCGGAGTGGAGTCGCCGTCGTAGTCGTCCTCTTCGTCGTCTTCATCGTCCACCTCATCGCCGTCCTCCTCGCCGCCCTCTGAGTCGTCTGCGTCTGAGAACTGATGCTCCGCCATCGCCGCTCTGGAGATCTTCTCAGACGACCTCTGACCTTCATCTCCCACATCTACAGGAGGAGGAGGAGGGAGGGAGGGAATAAGAAGAGGAGGAAGACAGGAAAGAGGCAGAAAGAGAGGATGAGGATGAAGAGGAAGAAGAGCAGGAAAGACAGGAAGCAGAGGAGGAAGAGAAGAAGAGTTGAGTAAGAATATGTGGTAACAGAGTTTAGATGGTTCCCAGCAGCTCACAGCAATAAAACATAAAAGACAGTAAAACAAAGTTATTTGAGACGAAGCGCTCGACACTGAGCGATGGACTCCAGCCAGAGAGACGGAACAGAAGCTGCTGAGTTACTGTTGGCAGGTGACCAACCATCACTCTATTACTCAACACAGCTGATTGGCTGATGCTGTGAGGCTTAAAGTCGACGAAGATTCACACCGTCCCCGAGTTTCTCTGCAGGATCTAAAAATATTTATATGATTATATTCTCTCCTGCGCTCCTTTCTTTTTTCCGTCTCTTCTCTCTCTCTCGCTCCTGGACGTCGTCCAGACTCGGCGTGGAGCAGCAGCCGCCACTCGGAGTTAATAAATTGTATTTAGACGACGGCTACGAGCGGAAATCAGATCCACTAACACTGAGCTACTTTTCCAGTTAGTCTCTTATATACAACAGTTTCTCACAGACCACAACTGTTTATGTCTCAGCTCGCTCTCTCCCTCTCTCTCTCCCTCGCTCTCTCCCTCTCTCTCCCAAAAGCCCCTGCGCTTGTGTGGGTTTGTGTCCCAATTAAAAGCCGAGCCAACACACACACACACACACACACACACACACACACACACACACACACACACACACACACACACACACACACACACACACACACACACACAGCGGGGATCCAGTGAAGTAAAAGTTTATTTGATCGTCTACATGTTGCTGCAGACGGGATCTGACTTTCTCTAATCAACCCTCGTTTGGAGGCTTTTATTCTGAAACACCTGTTTGCAGTAAAAGTGGTTGGTTCCTTTTTTCACCGTCTGTTTCCTGATCATTAAAACTGAAACATATTTCATGATAATTTGAACATTTAAATAATGTTTTTGACTCACTCATTAACACACTCTCGTTTCCACTTGTGTTGTGCATCAGTTCATAAACCTCAGCCTTTAACGAGCGCTGCTGTTTCTCACTTTGCTGTTATAACTGTTGTAAGTATAGATGTCCTACTGAGTTTCTATGGAATCCATTTGAAACTTATTTCATTTATTTATTTACTTTTCTATGTTATTCTTGAATTATTTTCTCATTGTACAGTGGTGTGTCTTCATGTGAAGCACTGAGCTGCAGTTCTGATGGAAGGTGCTGCACAAAATAAAGTTTATTATTATTGTTGTTGATCTCCTTGGAGACTTTGGGATCTCCAGTAGAAATGAAAATAATCCTCTTTGTGTTTGAACAGAGTTTAATCAACTAATGCCTCAAACCAGGAAGCGTCACGGTCCTACCTGTCATCTACAGGACAGGTAAACAGTAGCTGCTTTCTAGCAACAGAAGCTACGGCAGCCCGGTGATGACAAAAAATAACAAATCAAAAAGTGTAAGTCTGTCAAAACTGATGCAGAGATAATGTTTTAAATATATATTTAATATATTTGCTGGTGTGTTTGGACTCAAGAGAAATTATTAACAGAATTTATTCATAATTTGTGGAGAAGATGGAGGAGATTTGTTTCTGGTGCAGGTGTAGAAGTCCTGTGCCGATTTAACCAACTGGCTAGCATGCTAATTTAGAAAAATTTAACTAATAAAATAATGAATTATGAACTTTGCAAATAGTCACTACACGTGTTTCGCCCTACACCACATTTTTTTTTCTTTACTTCAAATCTGACAATAACACTTAAAGCATAACATTATTTTTCACTGTCAACAAACATAAAAAGAGCAGAACATCGACGCCTCCGTCTCTTATTCTCCGGGTCATTTAATAAAGCAGCTGGAGGAAACAGCTTTTATTGGGGACTATCTTAATCGGTGGATGAATCCACATTTGGTGCTCTAGTGAGTATTTGGGGCAGCAGGACAGTGTGTGTGTGTGTGTGTGTGTGTGTGTGTGTGTGTGTGTGTGTGTGTGTGTGTGTGTGTGTGTGTGTGTGTGTGTGTGTTCATGGTGATGAAGGAACCCAGTAATTAGTCATTCTGGACAATGAGCGGAGGAGTAAGACGTATGAGGTTTTGGACACACTCACTCTACTTGAATAAATTAAAACGACAGCTGGTGTTGTCACGCCAACACGAACTGAGGGACGACGACGGCACGTGTTGATGCTCTTGATGGTGAAAACTCTAAATGATATTAAAAGGAATCCCACTGATTTCCATCTTCATTATGAAGTCATCAGAAGATTAACGCTCATCTGTTCGGAGACGTCACGGCCTCCAGAGACAGCTGACCACAATCCGTTATTTGTGAATATTTCATGGGGAAATCACATTCATCCCTCTCAGCCCACAACATCTTCCCCACTAATAATTTTCAGATTATTTCCATATCAGCTGATTAATGTGACGCTGGTCGTGTCGGCATTTAGAGGCGATGAGTGGAAAATATTTTCTCTTAGTAACTGACGGAAAATCAAACTGTGGCTTTAAGATTGTTCCTGGAGATGTTCTGGGGGATATTTTAATATAATACGAGACTCTAAATGTCGGATGTTTTTGGGTTTTTTTTAAGGGTTGCCTGTGTGTCAAGTGCGGTTGTTTGACATGAGCCCCGGCCGTCAGGACGAGCTCTGCTTTCCATTACACTAATTGTCCCTGTACGACCGCACCGAGCCAGAGACACGGCAGGCAGCACTCAACGAGACAGCAGGATACCTCTGCAGCTCCTCCAGTGTGTGTGTGTGTGTGTGTGTGTGTGTGTGTGTGTGTGTGTGTGTTTCCTACCTCCATCGTCTGCCTCGGTGTCCTCAACCGAAGACATGGAGACTCCCAACTCCAGACACTTTTTCATATGAGCCTTAGACTTCATGTGCTTGGTCAGGTTTCCTACAAAACACACACACACACACACACACACACACACACACACACACACACACACACACACACACCATTTAATGAAACCGGAGCTTGTTTGGCTGCATCAACACAAGAGTGAAACAGAAAGAGGGTGAGATGGAAACAGAAGCGGTGGGAGAAAAAAAAAAAGAGCAAAACCACAAAATTACAATTTACAAATGACATATAATTTATCTATAATGTCCTTTAATGACAAAATGAGTGAACCTGCGCTGAACTCAGAGTCAGATGTTGAACATGGGAGTCTGAGAGTCTGTCAGGCAGGTAACAGCTTTGTATTAGAGAGCAGGGATCGTGTTTGATCACAGCTGCAGATAACGTGGTTCATTCTTTCATTTAACCACTTAGTTGTTTATTTGTAGGATTTAATTCATACTAACCCTGTTATTTTTCTGTTTTTTTTCTTTCTTCCCAAAAAAAAAGGAAGAAAATAAACTAAATAATTCACCTCCTCTCAGGGCTTGTTTATACAAATGGAAAAAAAGTTTTTTTTTTAATTATCCTGACCAAAACAATTAATAAAAATAAATTCCCTCTCTGGGATTGTTTATACCGATGAAAATAAATCCTGCTTGCCTCTCTGGGCTTCCGTACTCTAATGATAAAAAGCTGCTGACTCCCACAAATGTGATCAGACTTCATCCGAGTTCAAAATAAAGCTCGCGTGAACCTGGACGATCACAATGTTTTTTCTTACCTGGCGAGAATCAAATTTATCCGATAATTCCCAGAGAGCGAATTAAATCCGGCCCAGACTTGTGCCACATGCTGGTTTTCTTCTGGCCCAGTTTACACCTGGTTCCACGGCCCGACTCTGGCCCATATACAGCAGGACTGTCAGATGCTACCTTCACATCTGGACCAATTCCAGCTGTCCATCAATACCAGCGGATAACAGCTGGACTGTGTCCAGATGTGGAGGTGTACGGGCCGGACTCGGGCCGAGGACACAGGAATATATTGGTCCAGGAGTTTCATTTGTTTTTCCGTGTTTTGGAACATTTGTAATTTTCTACAATAAACACGTAAAAGTGACGTCGGGTCGCGGGACAGAACATCAGCTGATGGTGTGAAAGTTAAATAAACCCTGACCTTTCGTCTTGAAGGCGAAGTTGCAGAACTTGCAGACGTACGGCCGGACGTCGGTGTGCGTGCGGATGTGTTTCTTCAACATGCTGGGTTTCTTACAGCGGATGCCACATTCCTCACAGATGTATTTCCCTCGACCTCGACCGCGAACGTAAACGTAGTCCTCGTTGGATTTGTAGCTGGAAGAAAGACCAAGAGACACAGGCTGTGAGGAGGGGTGTGGTTTTTAAACTGAAATAATATTTACAGCACAGTTTCACTCGAGATTAGTTATGAACAGAAAAACACCTGAACTCAGAGCTTTCACTCAAGATCACCACCTCAAAATTACACAAAAAACTATAAAACACTGAAGTTTAACAAGAGGGAACTCTCTGTCTTTATTTTAATTATTTAATGTTTGTTCCTTCGTGATTATTCACACTTTGATTCGACTCCATCGCAGCACGTTGGGATTCACTTCATTCCCAGATTTTATTCCCTCCCTGAAGGAGAATTAAAAATAGAAACTCTCTGTGTCTGTGTGTGTCCTCCACAGAGAGGTCAGAGGTCACGGTCAGAAGCCCTGCAGCTCGTACACGCTCACCGTCACGCTCGAGGACACAGATGCTTGCTGACACAGAGGTTCTGCTTAAATAAGGCTGAAATCAGGTTTTCCTCTGTTCACATGCGGCCGTGAGCGTCAGGGACACACACACCTGAGGGACTGAGAGACTGAGAGGACGTGGCATCAACCTGAACACAAACTTTTACAACAAACGTCCAACTAATCTCATGTCTGAGTAACGTAGTAGACGATGCTCTGACACTGAAGCTGTGAGTTTATAAAATGTGCTGCTGAGGGAGAACAGAAGCTTCTTCTTCACCTCTGATGTGACGCAGCTTCAGTTCAGACACGTCTCCGGTTAAAGGAGGAGACACGTGTAAAGTAAGAATAACAGAGTGAAACACATGAAGTCTGAGGGGAAAAGAAGGAGGGGAAAATTCAAGGATCATTTCTCTGTAGAAAAATAAAAACCTTTTGTTTTTCTTGCACATTTCATTATAAAAATCAAAATATGAACGTGTTTTTTTTTTAATGTGCGATCAGAATAAACAATGCAAACAGATTCATTTAGAGAATATCTGCATATGAACCTCCCTGAACCTCCAGTGAGCACATGTATTGATTAGTGTGTTAAAATCTAGTGGTAATTAAATTAAATTAAAAAAATGAATAAAATTTGTGACATGTTAAAGCTGAGAGTAAAATAACTTGTCACATGTTCGTCACTGTAACGTCTTGTTATCAGCTCATACAGACACATGATGATGTGTCTGCAGTAGATTGGCTCCTCGTGGTCGTATCCCTCCGCCGCTCAGACTAGTTCCATGTTACATCCCTGTTTCATCCAGAGTACTGGCTAAAAGGTGTTTTGTGAGGTCACACTGACCTTGACCTTTGACCTTTATCTAATCAGTTCATCCTTGAGCCCAGGTGAATGTTTGTGCCAAAAGAGATTCCTTTGAGGAGATAGTTCACAAGGCCAAAACAGTGTTCTGTGACGTCAATGTGACCTTTGACCTTTGACCACCTAAATATAATCAGTTCGTCCTTGAGTCCAGGTGAATGTTTGTGCTAAATGTGAAGAGGCTCGGTCAAGGTGTTTGTGAGATATTTTGTCCAGGAGAATGGGACAGACATACGACCTAAAAAACAAGATGGCCGCCGCCCTGACTGTCGCCGGCGCGGAGGAATAAAAACAGAGAAGCAGAAAACAACACGGAGACGACCCGATGATCTAATCACTGTTTTTCTTTTCCGTTAAAATGACCCGAAGAGAAAAACCACGGGTCTGTAGTCGACCCGGTCACGACCTGCAGACGTGATTCCTTCTTTTCCCGGGTCACAAGCTAAAACAGGAAGCAGCGCGGCGTTCCTCCTCTGGGTTCAGAGACGCTCTTCAGAGTCTTTCTGCTCTAAAAGAAGACGACCACAGTCCTCATTCCTTTACATGCCTACTCTCTTTTCTTTTCTTTTTCTTTTTAAACATCCCTGTCAGACATGATTTTCTGTCCCAAACGAGGCCTGGAGTGAACCGGCGGACACTTGGCAGCGGGATCAGTGCACGTCTGAATGAGTCCGTCTGTCACGGGGGGGAAATTACCACCGACCACCAGTCACATGCTGGTAAATGTTGTCTGTCTTTCCTCCGCCGCAGAGGCATCACTTTCAGGCTCGTGGAGTTATTTTCTCTGTGGTGGAATGGTGAAAGTGGCTGGTGAATCGTTTCCTGTCCTGTCTGGTAACGGGTAGTTCAGGGCCTCATGTGTCGGAGGAGGTCGGGTATCGGCTACATCAAACACCGGCGAGGGGGGAGATTCGTCTTTCAACTGCGAGGAGCGAGGCCTGCACCTCTGGACGCTCGTCTGAGGCGAGACGTTTACACAGCTGCGGCCGCTTATGAAAATGAATCACGGCGATGATTGTTTTGTTTTATTCTGTTTTATTCGCCGCACACGGTAAAATCATAAAGCTGCTTCGCTTTCACTGACACGTTCAGGGGACGTGGGACTGTTCTCTCTCAAACCTTACTGCTTGTAATGTATGTTAATGTATGTGTGTGTGTGTGCGTGTGTGCGTGTGTGCGTGTGTGTGTGTGTGTGCGTGTGTGTGTGTGTGTGTGTGCGTGCGTGTGCGTCTTTTCCTGTTTGTTTGCTTTTATTCACTTATAGCTTCTAAAATGTCCTTTGGGGACAAAAGAGATTTACTTCACTGTCTGCTGCATTTAATAAGTCCCTGTGTGTGTGTGTGTGTGTGTGTGTGTGTATGTGTGTGTGTGTGTGTGTGTGTGTGTGTGCGTGTGTATGTGCGTGCGTGTTTGTGCGTGTGTGTGTGTTTGTGTGTGTGCGTGCGTGTGTATGTGCGTGTGTGTGTTTGTGTGTGTGTTTGTGTGTGTGTGTGTGTGCGTATATGTGCATGCGTGTGTGTGTGTATGTGCGTGTGTGTGTGTATGTGCATGCGTGTGTTTGTGTGTGTGCGTGTATGTGCATGCGTGTGTGTGTGTTTGTGCGTGTGTGTGTGTGTATGTGCATGCGTGTGTTTGTGTCGTCGTGTGGTGTGGTTGGCTGTTGACGCTGTGTGTGTGTGTGTGCACCGTCTGTTCCCTGCACTAACCTTGGTCGTACTGGTTCTACTGTACGACTATAAAACCTTACGATGCTGTAGGAATGTGTGTCACTGCAGGGGTCTGTAGCTTTAACGCCCTCACACACACTTTATTTGACCGTTTAATGTACACTTAAGGACAAATTCCTGAGCTTTCTATGTGGAAAATGAGCTTCATGTGACTTTAATAACATCATAATTAATAATTAAGGGGTCCTCCTGGTCTCACTGTTATCAAACAAAACCTTTTATTGCCTCAAAGTCCCTTTTGGATCACGCCAACATTAAACCTCAGTTCCAGCACTGACACAACATATACAATATATTGATAGAATATATGTTGTAAATGTTATAAATCTGTCTCTCTACAAATGTGTTTAGTTCTTATTTCACCACAAAAGACAAAGTTTTCAAAAACTAAATCTGAACATAAAGAGATTTACCTGAATATAAAACTGTCAAAACTGATTTAAATCCCTGAATCGAGTCACAGTGAGGAAGAGAAAAGATCTGAGGCAGCTTCCACTATGTGACGTGACGTGACGTGACGTGACGTGACGTGACACATTTCACTGCTTTGATAGTGAGTTATTTTCTGGAGCCAACAAACTGTTTCTCCTCTGACTTCTTTAGGTCCATTCATCAGCTTTTTCATCATCAAGAGGATTTAAATAAAATCTCCAACAAATTCTACAAATAAATCTCCAAATATAAATTTCCCTTTCCTCAAAAATAATCTGAATTTAAGTAGTAAACTATAAATATTATTAAAAAGTAATAAAGACGCATTAAACTGAATGTAAATACAGTTATATAGTTAGTTAGTGATTGAAACTTCAGTTCTGATGTTACTTTAAAATAATAAAATGACTAATAACATAAAAACATAAATAAACAGTTGGTGATGGTGGAGAAACCGTGGGACTGATCACTTCACTGGAATAATGAAAGTCCACGTCCGATCAGAACGAGGCTCAGGTGGAGAGCCGGTGATGGGTTCACCAGGCCCGGTTTATTAAACCCAGAGAACGGGCTGCAGAAAGGATCAGTCTGTTTTTTCCTTCTCATTCAGATTCTCTGATTAATGGTGATGAAACAGACGACGAGGTTCACAGAGAAGCCGTTAGCGTTCAGGCGGCTCAGAGCAGCAGCTGTGAAGGGACGAGTTCAGGTGTCTGAGGTTCTGGTTCGATCCTCAGAGTTTCTCTCACGCTTCTTAAATCTTGGTTAAAAAGTGAAGGTGAAGAAACTTCTGCTATCACCACTCCTCAGGAATCTGATGATCCGCAGCAGCTTTAGTGTTTATTTCTTGTGTCTGATGTATTTTACTTTCCTTTATTTCTGTCCACGTTATAACCTGGTTTCATTTCTCTCATTGTTTCACTTCTTCTGTTTTTTAGTGATAAATTCTTATTTTCCCCACATGTAGCACCTCGTCACCTTGTTGTGATCGGCTCTGGATAAAAACGTTCCTATATTAAAATGATACTGCGCCTGCTAAAAATAAGAGACAGCAAGGCAGTAACGGAGCTCGCTGTCACGCTCAGACGTCGCTTTAATCAGCGAGTTGATTGATTGATTTTTGACTCGGAGACGAACCTTTAAGGTTCGGACTCAGGTCTGTGACGTTAGAAATCCCACATCTCAATCACTGTCAAAGTCGAACCAACAAAAGTGCTTCTTCTTCAGATACTGTGCCGACAAAGACGCCAAACAAGTTACTGAAATGAAAACAATAATTTTCCGCCTTTTGTTCGGATCCATCAGGAACAGTCTTTAGCCCCGATAATGAAGATTTCTACACAATTTGTAGAGTCTGGATCATTGCAGAACATTGATGAAATCATATCAAATACACACCTATTTGTAGAAATGACCTTTTACGCAGTTTCTATATTTAAATTGTTATGCAGACAATAATATTGTAGCAGTAAAGTTCATTCAGTCACAGAGAAGTAAACTCGCTGTCGCTCTCTGCAAACAACAGGAACTATATCTTAATTCTCTTAAAGCTCCTCCAGTGTAAAGGTCTCTGTCCATGTGTAGTGTGATTATAGATCAGGTCTAGCTTCTATATTAATACTGTGAAAGTATCAAAGCCTCAGTCCACAGAGAAATGCACACAGCCTGTATTCAGAAACTGAGCCTTAAAACCAGCCGTCAGGACTTCTGGAACTTTGTGATGTCACAACAAAGCAGTCACCAAGCCCCGCCCACCTGGACCCACCATCCAAACCTTGCAGGATTTGGTTTCTCTGAGTGTTTTTACCTGAAATCTGCTATATTTTTATTGATCACTCAGAAAACAGTCAGCCAATCAGAAGAGAGGCTCAGAGAAACTACATAGGATAAACGCTGAAGTTGTTTTCGTCGCTTTATTGGACTGTGTGTGTGTGTGTGTGTGTGTGTGTGTGCGTGTTTGATGGACGTACCCGCCTTCGAAGATCTTGATACGGGTCGGTTCGTTGGTGGGCTGTTTGACTGAGACCTCCTTCTCTACCTGCTCCTCCTTCGAACGGTCCCACGACACCACTCCCTTCATCTTCCTTCCGAAATGACTTACGTCGACAGGCATCAGCTCCGGCTTCAACTGCACAGACGAGGGAGGTGTGAAGGACGGAGAGGAGGGGTACATGCGTGTTTTAAACTTGTGTTACATCGTTATGGGACGTACCTGATCAAACCGCAGCTTCCAGGCCACTGACGACACCAGTTTTCCGGAGCTGGGTGGCGACATGGCGGCTGTTGTGTACATCAGGTCGGTGTTCCTCCTCTGTTTGGACCTGAGCAGGGCCAGCGCAGCCTTGGTGCTGAGGTTCAGAGGGTTGGGGTTGTAGGAGTTCACGCACCATGAACTGTAGACGGAGCTGCGCAGAGCGGCCTGGGTGCTGTTGGGTTTGGTGTACTTCAGGAAACACCAGCTGACTCGGCTCATGGTGCGCAGGCTCGGGAACTGGAAAAACTGCTGCACGTCGGCCACGTCAGTGAGGAGCAGAGTCTGTCCCACTGCTGCGGACTGCTGGTTAGCAGCTAGCTGCACCAGCATGCTAACAGGGAGTTTACTGGGGGGAGGCTGCTTCGGTGCGTCACTATCTTCTGCGTCGTTGGAGGAGACCATGGACTGGGGGCTGGAGCTCGGCTCTGGAGCTGAATCGTCCACATCCAGCTCCTCTGGGGAGTCCCGGCCTCCTGAAGCCGGGGACCGGTCCGTGACAATCTGGAGAGGAGGGGTGAAGCTCTCGGGCCGGGGCACGTCAGGGAGGTGGGGGGCAGAGGAACGGACGGGGATGGCGATCTTGGCGGCAACCGGGAAGTCGCTCAGTGGTGGAGACGAGGACATCCTCTCAGACTCGTCCATGGAGCCCTCGCTCTTCAGACGGGCTCGCTGACCTCTGCTCTGCCTCTTCTCAGGCTTGTTGCTGCTCTCAGTTCCACTCAGCTCCACGGCGCCCATCTCCTTCACGATCTGTCCGTACATCCTCTCCTCCTTCACCCTCTTCTGCTGCTTCGTCTCGATGAAGAGCTCCAGCGAGCTGGCGGGGGAGAGCATGCGCTTGCTGCCGCCGATGCCGGACCCCGAGGCGTCGGTGGTGGATATGGTGCCTGACGTTAGCGACAGCGGGATTCCTGTGTTGAGGCGTTGCTCCGGCAGTGAATCTGGAACCTTCCAGAGCGGGTAGCGCAGCACTGAGCCGTCGGTCTGTCCCAGGAAGTGTGACAGGTTGAAACCTGTTCCACTGATGCCTCCTCCAATTCCTCCAGGAGGTTTACTGACACCAACCGGAGGAGACATGTTGCTGTTGTCGGCGCTGGCTAAGCCCACCCCTTGTGCTCCACTGCCGTGGGTAGCTATCAGCTGACTAACACTGGTGTACATAACACTACCGAATGATGGCACATGGGTTTGGATCCGCACAGGAACCAGCATGCCAGGCAGAGAGGCCTGGGACCCCAGGTTCTGGGTGGCGAAGACGGGCTGGATCTGCTGCAGGAGCATGGATGTGGCGGTGGAGCTGGGCATGGGGAGCTTGGAGCCAAAGTTCTGCTGCTGCGACAGAGGAGATGTACGAGATGAGAAAGAGGTCGGGTACATCTGAGAGCTGGGATTTTCTGACTTCCCGTCGTGTGGCTGTTGGTCGTGAATTTGCTTCAGGGGGTGTAGCGGCTGTTGTTTGAGCGGCGGGTGTCCAGGCAGGGCGCCGGGTGATCTGATGTGGAGCTTCTGGAGCTGCTGCTGCTGCTGGGAAAGCTGCTGTCTGGGGTTCTGTCCGGCCTCCTGGCCCCAGAAGAGACCTGGCTGCTGGAAGGAAAGGAAGGGGGGGCCACTCTGGTACTGCTGCATTACTTCCTTGTTCATGACCTCATGACCTGGATGTTCTCCCTCAGATGACGAGCCCTGCGCCTGCAGACGATGCTGCTGGGACCTAATATGGAGAAAAGGTTGAATATTCTTATTATTGTAATAAGTATTACATGTAAGTGTCTATAAAGATGAGTTACAGGAATTATATAATAATAAGATAATAATATGAAAACAATACAACAAATTAATATTGTAATAATAAAACTAGTTGGTGAAATAGTACAGGGAATAGCAATTGTTGAAAGAATAGCAGTAGTGATGTATGAAAATACCTAGTGTCAAAATTGTCCATTGGTGATTTAAAGCTCCTTCAGTGTAAAGGTGTGTGTCCATGTGTAGTGTGATTATAGATCAGCTCTAGCTTCTATATTAATACTGTGAAAGTATCAAAGCCTCAGTCCACAGAGAAATGCACACAGCCTGTATTCAGAAACTGAGCCTTAAAACCAGCCGTCAGGACTTCTGGAACTTTGTGATGTCACAACAAAGCAGTCACCAAGCCCCGCCCACCTGGACCCACCATCCAGACCTTGCAGGATTTGGTTTCTCTCAGTGTTTTTACCTGAAATCTGCTATATTTTTATTGGATCACTCAGAAAACAGTCAGCCAATCAGAAGAGAGGCTCAAAGCCTCCTCTCTTCTGATTGGCTCACCGACCTGTTGTTACTAGAGCTCCAGAGAGAAGCCTGAGAGAGGAGATGTAAAACTACACTGAAATGGTTTTTGATTCTTATGGATCAACACTTCAAATAAAACACAGAAGAAGAAGAAAATACGGAGCTTTAAAGTTTGCTGGAAACCCTTTCCTACCTGCTGTAGAGTGGCTCATCCTGCAGACTGTCCTCACTGATACTCTGCTGGAGGAGATGCTGGTGGTGCTGTTGGTGTTGATGAGATCCTATACCTGTGAATAAAACATGAAAATATAATCCATTTCATGTAATGAAATTCTTCCCTACAAATGTTCCTCCCATTGGTTTGAGTTTGATCCAAACACCTCAAACCCTGCGTCGTTTACTGAGCAGAGACAGACCCCGAAACAACAACCATGTTATCATGATACTACAATTTGCATCTAAGAATTGGAGGAGTTTTATAAATGTGTTCTTGCCTCAGCCTCGATGTGTCTTAACAAATCAAATATAATATTTGTACTGTAAACCGAGCCTTACCACCAGTGCTACTGCCAACTCTCTTGGTTCTGCCGGCTACATCGCTGCTGCTGTGAGGGGATCCTGTTGGTCCGGACCAAGCCCCGTGCTCCAGACTCTCCTGTTTGATTGACATCTCGGCCCCCCCTGGTTCCTGGGCGACCGCCTCTGGATAAACACTCAGTGAAGCCTGTCAAAGGGAGGGGAGTGGGTCAGTCAGTCATGAAATAAAGTAATATGATTCTTAGTGTGTGAGGAAATTTGGTGGAGGTGCCAAGACAGACAGATCTCAGACCTTTGTGAGGCCTTTTTTCCTCCAGGGTACATGCTCAAACTAAAGAACAACAATCTACAGCTTCCAATCAACTGTTAAATAATAATAATAATAATAATGATGATGATGATGATGACAGGGGGTTGTTTGTTGTTTTTAGCTACCTGTCGGACGAGGTATCCACGCCGGCGTTCCTTCATTGCGGAGGCACTGGAGTACAGCTCTCCCTGTCTGGAGGTGGACAAGCTTCCATAGTCGAAGGATTTGCTGCGCATCTCAGGCAACTCTGTGGGCAGCGTGCATGGCGCCTGCTCCGATGAAGACCGCCTCATCTCCCTCTGCTGGTGGTGGCTGGAATGACCGCTGCCGGGTACCGTCAGGAACTCCGACTGCTTAACTCCACCACCGGAGGCTGACGAGTCGTCCTGGTTCAGAATCACAAAGAAAGAGTGTTGATAGTTTGGAAGCATTGGGGGCATGTTGTGTTTTACAGGTGCTGCATGAAAATATAGTCATATTAGAGATGTTACAGGTATAAAAAAAGTAATGATAATGTACTGTGATCATTGTAGGACCAGTGCAAGCAGATTATACCAGAAAAACTACCTTAACTGCTGGAGAGGTAGTTCAGATACTTGAAATTACCATATTTAAAAGGAGGTACCTGTTTGGTGGGTGAGATGGACTTTAGGCCTTCATCTCTGTCGAATGACATGGAAAAGGAAGAGGACAGGTTGCTCTCCTGACTGGGGCTCCGAGAAAGGCTGGTGCAGGTCGACTCGAAGCTCGATTCCCCAGACGAGTGCTCCATGTCTGTCAGGCGCAGCCTCTTCTTCTTGGGCGGGAGCTTTTCTGATGGCATCTGGGAGAGCGTGTCACTCCTCTGCGGCAGCTGAAACTCCTCCATGTGCTGCTGCTGCTTCTCTGGCTCCTTGGTCATCGGAGCTTCTGTATCTTTCTCGGGCTTGTCCGGCTCCTCCGTCACCCTGATCTCAGGAACCTGGATGTTGGGTTGTCGGACTAGTTTGTGTGGGATGTGATAAGGCTGGCCGGGTGAGGCCGCAGCGGATGAGGATGAGAGGGAGGCCAGGTCGCTGTCACTTTGCAGCTGCTGCTCTGTGCTCTCTGTCCTCAGCAGGGCAGATTCAGGACTCAGAGCATCTTCGAAGATCTCTGTGTCCGACTGCTCCGAGTACTGGCTAGGTGGTCCTTTATCTGAAGGCTGATACCCCGGGTGCTCAAAGGACTCTGACTTCTCAAAGGAATTTGGCCGGCTGAGGGAGTTGGTGTGTTGGATGACCGATATGACATTCCCAGCTGCCTTCCTGCCCTCAGAGTCAGGAAACAATGCAATGTCCTCGGAGCACATGCTGGCACAGGTATCGAAGCTGTCGGACTGGCTGTGAGCGCTGTGCAGGGAGCCCTTCCCTGTTGGGGTGGCTCTCGACCCATCAAGACTACCTTGTTTAAACTCATAGTCCCCTATCATCTCCACTGACCCACTACAGCTGCTGTCACAGTGTCCAGGGCTGTCCTCCTCATCTCCAACACTCTTCTCTTTCCTCCTTTTCCTTGTGGCTATTTCAGACATGCTAACTTTAGTACCATATGGGCTGTAGGCAATATGCTCCGGGACTCCTGGGCTGCGCTCACCGATCTTCATACCCAGAGATGAAGCTAAGTTCTTGGGCATGTGTCCGTAACCCTCGGCCTCTCCTACATGGGCTTCATTGGCTGAATGTTCAAACGCAGCCTGTCTTCTGAGTCTACGAAGCCCCGGTGGGTAGAACACATCATCCGATGTCATCATCTCATCGAAGGAGTGGCTGCCCCGAATCCCTGGGGGGACGCTGAGGGTGGGAGGGGAGGACGTTGGCATGGAGTTACTCCTAATAAGGGGCCCAGAATCTGATGGAGGCTCCAGAAGCCCTGTACTGCTTTGACAGGGTCCTGTTGGATACTGCTTGGGATCTCCAGAGATCCCTACGTCCCCTCTGAAACAGATATGATCCTCAGCGATCTTCCCCATGTCCAGGATAGCAGCACCTGGTTGCTTTAAACTCGCCAGGCTGCCCGGGTCTGCCCCCGCCATGCCCACCGTGATAGACTGCCTGGATCTAGAGTTGGGTCGGTAGTACCAAGTCCGACCGAACATAATCTCTTCGTACGTCTTGACATTAGTATTGGGAGGGCTGATCTGCTGCTCCGCACTCTCGGAGCGGGAAAAGTATCCAGAGTCTGTGCTGCCTTTGCTGTGAGGGCTGAGGAGGTTCAGGGACTGGGACATGGCACAGTCAGTGTCCTGGCCCTTTTTCTCAGTCAGCCTCAAGGCCAAACGTTGTTTGATGGTGGGGGAGTCATCCAGTGAATGCGCTCTTCCACCAGCCTGCGACGCCAACATGTGGTGTGACCCCTTTATGTCCTGAAAGGGTGGGCACTCCATCCCTGTGGAGGGGACTCCCCCCGGCCGGGGGACGATAAGGATAGGCACTTTCATAGATCCCACAGGCAGCTCTTCAGCTGAGTCTGCATATGCTGGTTCCACACCACCTGTACAGGGAGAAACAGTGGAGCATAAAGTAAAGTAGAAAGTATAAGAAGCAGGTTAGGATTGATTAAAAATGAGCAGAAAATGTTAAAAATCTAAATCTTTTTCAAGTTCATGGCCCAGTTGAAAATCTTAAAGACGCTAGTTGCCCACATCCAACCCCATAACGACACAAAGGCCAAATAATGCCACGTTTTTAAAGATTATTTCATCTAAAAACATTATTTATTATCTTGTGGCTGGGAAACACTGTTTTACCGTAAACCTTTTTCAAAAACCTCAACACTTATTGATTTCACTGACACAGGGAGTGAAACTAACCACACGTCTGTGACAGGATGTCTATGAACCAAAACATATTGGTTTCTGAAAAATTGGGCTTTTAGGGAACAGAACTGTGTCCGAATCCTTATAATTAAATTTTTCTAAATGCGTCTTGTTGAGTAAAAATGACCTGTACTCTTGTCAGCTTCAAAGGAGATCTGTGGGATGGGGCTGTCTTTGTCCGTCAGCATGGTGGAGCCCTCCACACCTTCCTCGTCTGTGTCGGTGCTCTGCTCTCCGTCTGAGTGGACCTCAGCCTCGCCCACCGGCGACGCCTGGTCCATGTCCCCGCTGCGCGCCACAGCTAGCTCTGAAAACGGTACGAGTCCAGCCTTGATGGCATGAGCGTGGGACTTGCGATGCTTGTAAAGGTTGCTCTTGGTTTTGAAGGAAAAGCCACAGGGTACACAGGGGTATGGCCTCTCTCCCGTGTGTGAGCGGATGTGCTTCTTCAGGACGCTGGGCTTGGCGCACGCTCGGCCACAGTAGTGACAGATGTACTTACCGGGCTTTTTCGGCTTCTGCTCCTTTTTGCTGTAGCCCTCCTCTCCGGGCTCAGGGCCCGACTGAGAATACTGTCCGAAGGAGCTGGGTAAACTGGGGGATTTCTGTCGGGTAAACCTTCCTGCCCCGGCCCCATGAGGGTGAGTGTGTCCCGGGTGTCCTACAGGGTACAGATCATCTGAGGGCAACTGGCCGGCGAACGGCCAGGCGTGAGGCTCCAGGCCTGGCTGGGGTTTGGCTCCTGAGAGGAAGCGCTCAGTTTGGGGGTGCTGAGGGTATGGCTGGCCCAGCTGGTAGGAGTATCCCCTTGGGAACCCCTGAGCAAAGGGCCCTTGGGGGTCTTGAGATGGCGGGCCTCCTATGGCCCCAACTGCAGAAGGTCCAGATAGCAGCTTTCCAGAGTTCCCTGTGATTGCGTACTTTTGCTGAGGTGCCGATCCCCCGGTGGCGCCGCACGGCAAACTCTCGCGGTGTTTTGCCTCTGGGTCAGCGAAAGTGCTTCTTTTGGTGGTGGCTGAGGGCTCGGACGCCCACTTCCTCTGCAGGGGCACCTTCTCCTTCAACGGTTCCTTGTTTGAGCATTTCTGCCCGGCGGCAGCTGATTCACGAGCCTCCATGTTCGTGAAGCTCTTCTATGGGTAAGAAGAGGGAGGAGAGAGGGGGGCGGTGGGGGGAGATGGGAGGGCGGGTTCTGGAGGGTTACCAGTTTCCCAATCTACCAGACATGATAGCTGAACCTTTGACGGCTGCCGACGAGTTCACAGAAACAGGAAGTACCCATCCATCTGATTGTAGAGCCCGGCTGGAAACAGGAATCAGGAAGTGGAAATAAAAGAGGAGCTTTAGTGGATAACATCAGAAACGTTTCTCTCCTTTTGCCATTTTGTAAACACGCTAACGTTGATGTGCGTTGTTTTTCTGTCCAGTTCATCTAAAGGCAGAAGGATCTGGAGAAGGTAGAAAAACAAAGAGACACGATTGAGGTCTTGTGGAGAGTAAATCAAGATTAACATCATGATGAACATTATCAAAGGGTGAGCACTAACTTTTCTTCAGGTGAAAGTGCTTGTAGATCCTCCGTCTGTAGCTTCAACAGTCATTCAGTTTTCTCAAGAAAAGACCTGCAGCGAAACAAAAGAGAAAAGAGGATCATTAGTTTTGTTGATTCTTTCACACAATAATCAAATTCAGTACAAGTCAGCCTTTACCCTGACTTCTCCCCGTCACCAGACGTTGGATTTGAAGTACTTTACAGTAAGACGTAACGTTTTCGTAACACCACACACGTTGTTGTACAGGTCGTAAGGAAAGAACGAGGCTGATGTGCGAATGTAAATGTCATTGATTGCTCAGTTAGTTCCTTCACACTGGAATCCATCTGTGCTTTCTGCCTTTTCCACCCCTTCCTCCCTCCCTCCCTCCTGCCCGCCCTCCCTCCTCCTTCCACTCGGGTGAGTCACCGATGCAAAGCAAACCCACGCTGTTCCTAAAAAGACACAAAGGCTTATAAATAGTGCTGTGGAAGTGACGTCGGAGTGTCATAATGTGTGTAGGCGTCCAAAAAGGCCGAGTCGAAGAGCAGTCATCAGCGCTCGCACCTTTCCTTCCTCCCTGGCTGTCAGAGTTTGTTCTAACTTGGTATGTACTCTGTCCAAAAGCAAACACACACACACACACAAAGACACACACACACACACAAAGACACACACACACACAGGAACACAAAGAGACACACACACATACGTACGTACAGTACTTGAAGACTTTGCAACTGCACTGCAAACACTGCAGCAGACAGAGAGTATACGTGTGTGTTTCCGTTGCTTAACGTTTCTTAACCACACCAACACCTGATAGCAGAAGCACAGAGCAGCAGAGCACACGCACACACACACACACACACACACACACACACACACACACACACACACACACACACACATATGCCTGCTGAAGTTGCAGTTTTGCTTTGTATTTCCTCATCTCAGGGTTTAAACAACCTCCCTCGCACTCTGATTGCGACACACACACACACACACACACACACACACACACACAGTGGCCTCAGTGCTGGTAAGCAGGGCTCAGTGACGTGTGTGTCTAGGGGCCCAACGTGAGATCTATAAATAGCAGTTGAGAAAAACATGCTGTATTCTTAGCAGCAGGAACGTTAACTTTGGGCTACCATGTGTTTTTCACCCCCCCCCCTCCACACACACACACACACACACACACACACACACACACACACACACACACACACACATCAGATCCATTATCTCAGACATATTTTTATGTTTTCCATGGTGTCATGAGTTGAAGAATGTGGTATGAAACCCAAAGGACCGACTCCTCTGTCAGAAACAATGGGTGTCCGGTTTGAGCAGCATCCAGCTCAGGATGATGCTGATTGGTCAGCAGGAGGGTCAGCTGACACGACCACAGACGCGGCCTGCTCGTAGGAGTTGTTACTAATGGTAGGCAGCTTTATTTGTATAGCACCTTTCAAACAGTGGCTGTTCAGTCGTGTGTGTGGTTCAGTTGAACACAGTGAAGAGCTGCACAGACAGAAGAGGAAACACAGGTACGGTGGCTGGGAGGTGCCACAGCTGGAAGCAAGAAGTCTACTACTTTTTAATCACATGATGGTTTAAAACCCGACATCTGTCTTGGGCGTTGTGTCCGACATCTTCATCGCAGGTAAATTAATGCCGCACCAAATGCTATTACTTGTTAATGATCCATAGACATTATAAATTAAATAGAGAAGCTTTTTACGGGAATGTTTCTGCTCTGGAACATTTGTTCTTTAAAGTTATTTTTTCTGGCTTTTTGTGCCTTTATTGACAGTGCAGTAGAGAGACAGGAAATGGGGAGGCAGAGAGAGGGGGAACGACATGCAGCAAAGGGCCGTCCGATGTGGGACTCGAACTGGGGCCGACTGCAGCGAGGACTGTGGCCTCTACACGTGGGGCGGATGCTCAACCAACTGAGCCACTCGACGCCCCAGAATGTTTGTTTTTAAGAAGTAATGAGATTCAAAACGTGTTTTTACTTTGCGTGGTTTTTAAACAAAGTTTTAAAGAACAAGCATTCGGACAAACTTGCAACAAACTTTTAACGTACAGTAAGGTTTGCATTACACTCAGTTTCCCATCATCCCACAGGGAGAAAATGGAAGCCCAACCCCCAAGAACATGTGACCTTTAGACTGAAACATCAATAGAGATGACTAAGACGACTTCAGTGACTTCAGAGCAAAGTCTATATATATATATATATATATATATATAGACTTTGCTCTGAAGTCACTGAAGTCGTCTTAGTCATCTCTATTGATGTTTCAGTCTAAAGGTCACATGTTCTTGGGGGTTGGGCTTCCATTTTCTCCCTGTGGGATGATGGGAAACTGAGTGTAATGCAAACCTTACTGTA